GCCCGGGCACGCGGCCGGCGAGTGATTCCCTTCTCCTCCAAGGGGTCTTATCCCCCCCCCACTCATCTGCCACCTGGCCATGAGTGACGCTCCCTGCCCCCGCTCCCACCTGTCTGAGAGACCCCAGAGTGTCCATTGTAGGGTCACACTTGTGGGAGGGTACCACCCTGACGGGAGGGGAGCCGGGTTGTTACCTGGGGTGTCTCCAGGGCTGAGTTGTGGAGAATCCCTGTCCTGCATTTCAAATTCTAACCCTGCTTTTCCCCACCCCCGAATCCCCCGCAGGGCCCTGAGCTCATCAAACAAGCCCACGGCCTTCACGGCTAGAGTGTCCATTGTAGGGTCACACTTGTGGGAGGGTACCACCCTGACGGGAGGGGAGCCGGGTTGTTACCTGGGGTGTCTCCAGGGCTGAGTTGTGGAGAATCCCTGTCCTGCATTTCAAATTCTAACCCTGCTTTTCCCCACCCCCGAATCCCCCGCAGGGCCCTGAGCTCATCAAACAAGCCCACGGCCTTCACGGCTTCATGAGAGTGGCTGGGCGAGGAGGGGTGTGCCGGGCGCCTGATCCCTGCGCAGGGGTGGCAGGTCAGAAGCCAGGCACTTGGGCAGCGTCTCCCAGGAGCTCTGGGAGTGAATTGGGGCACCTTACAGGGCAGCTGGACAGGAGCGGGGCCCCTATGGATCGCATGCCCACTGCATTGCATGGGAGGGTACCACCCCATGGTGCAGTTATTGGTCTGCGGGGGGCCATGGGAAAGTCAGCGAGTGTCCATGCCTCAGTTTCCCCACCTGTAAAGAGGGCATTGGAAGAAAGCTCATGGGAGATTGCGAAGAGCTTAGATACACCCGTGCTGAGCCCATGGAACAGCTGAAGTAGATATGGGGGGGGGGGTGTCAGCCTGACGTGGACTCCTCTGTGCGTGGGTTGTACCCACGGCCGGCGGCTCTGGAATACGACTCTGCCCCCCCCCCTCCCCCCGGAGCCAGTGTTCTCTAGCTCTTGGTGGGTGTGTTTGCAGGACAGTGGCGGGTTCCAGATGGTTTCCCTGGTGGAGCTGTCCGAAGTGGCGGAGGAGGGCGTCCGCTTCCGGTCCCCGTACAATGGGGAGGAGATCCGGCTGACGCCAGAGAAGTCTATTGAAATCCAGAACGCGCTGGGTAACTGGCGTTGTCTGGGCGGCGCGGGCTGGGTCTGCGTGCCGGTCACTGAGCACGGTGGGATCTCTCTTTAGACAGGCAGACTCCAGATTCAGAGCAGCCGTGAACAGGGAGTGAGAGTCTGAGCTGGGATCTCAGCAGGGGGCACTGTCCCTTTGGAGGCAGCTCCTGCGGGAGCAGGGTGGGTAACTCAGCAGGGGGCGCTCACTTGGGTGTGTTTATTATCCCCGTGTCCAGGGCAGTGCCAGGGAGCTGGGGGGGTAAATGAGATCTCCCCTCCTGTGGTTCTCAAAGCTCCCCTTGGAGTCAGGGCTGTGGGGTGAGCCCGGACCAGACCACCCCCCCTTCCTCCC